TTTTTTTTTTTTTTTTTTTTTGCAGCAGACAATAGCATTCAGCTTGTGCTCAGTTTCCCTATAAGGGCAAGAAATAAGTCTCTATTAGGCTGCCACTTGGTTTTACACTGAAAGACTAATCTGCTCCAAAATGCTCCCAAGTAGAAACGAAAGGATTCAAAATCCCTTTCAAAAGACCAACAGCTAGCTTTCTCTGACTAATCTCGATGCTCAGTGAAACCGGCTACCGAGATTGCATTTCAGGCTAACAATTGGCTTCTTAGTTAAGGCATCACAACTGAAAATGGTTATTCCAATAATGGGGGCTGTGGATGAAGGAATACCAACCAACTTCTAAGAATGCTCATCAAAAACTAAAGCGGTGTGCTTTGCCACAGCGGCAAGCAGAAGGGATTCAGGCAGTTCCCTTGCAAGCTAGAAAAGGGTTTTTGATTTCTGAACTAGCAGTCTGTCGCTTGTCACCTAAGCTCTGCCATTTTGATATCCAGTGACATCTCGTAGTTTTGGACTATATATTCTGCACCATACTTCTATTCCTCATTTGACATATAGTTTCCTGTTTGAAAAAAAAAATTACACACCCACCCACACACATGCGTGGGCACGCACACACACACACACACACACACACACACACACAGTTATTATAGTAAAGTGAAGGTAATCTTTCTCCAGAATCATCTGTCATTTTTCCTGGGGATGTCCACACGGATTTCCTACTGATGGTAGGAAGTTCTTTGTATGCACCAGGGGAAGACCAGCCTGGCCAACGGGCTGGGCTCTGATGACTATATCATCTCTAAATGCCATTTTTATAGGTGTGACATAACATCTTACCAACACAGTCAAGGTGTTTCTATCAGAAGTATGTAGTGCAGAAAGACTCCAGTATTGTCCCCAGGACAAACATAGTCTGAAATCATGGCAATATATGAACTTTTGTTTCACTAGATTCTCTTTACTATTTTCTTTAAATAGTAGCTAGAATTGCCTCTGGCCAATCATGACTTCTTGAAACCTAAAGCTAACGAATTTAAATTAATATATCATAGACAAATGTCTCTTTTTGGTTAATTGCTCAAAATAAATTTTTTTCACCTTAAAAAAATACTTAAGAGTAAGGAATTTGTCTCATCTGCTGTTTCACATACAGAAACAATAAAATTTTATAAGAATATTTCTCTAAATTGCCTTCCCCCCCCACCCCAACTTCTCTCCTTTCCATTTAAGTAAATTCTTCTCAAAGGCACTAAATTCTGTATCTGCTCTCTTCCTGATATTTGTTGCTCTTCAAAATGATTTCTGTAGCATATTTGAAAGGCAGCTTGCACTTTCTTAAAACAGTGTTGTAGTTTTGTTTGTAAGTTGATTTTATAAAGTGATGAGGCCATCTCTTCTATGATAACCAGCAAAATAGGCATAAATGGTTTCTCACTCTCTGTGACAAGCCCTATCATGGACTTTCAAATGTTCTATACTAGAACTAAAGTTCATATATTTCAACCATGGGAAAAACACACACCTAAGGAGTGAAGATCCACACACTAAGCTCTCATAGCAAAATGAATTTCAGGCAAATTCCAGAGTCCTATACAAATACCTGAATTTGATAGGAATTGCTCCCAAACTCAGCTATCAAAAATTATCTATCTCACTGAAGAAAACTAAAGAAAAACCTACATAAAATCCTTAAAAACTGCACAATTTCTTCCATCCACAGTTGAAAGAAGGAGGGAAGAGAAGACAGAAGGGAGGAAGGAGAGACGACAGGGAGGAAGGCAAGAAGGACAGAAAGACAGAAACCTGATTGAGAGAGCAAAGCAAAATCCTAGGCAATATTGCGAGGAAAGAAAACCCCAGAAGTTATATATGCTGCAAAAAAAAAAAAAAAAAATCAATGACCTAAAATAATAAAACAGAATCTTCTTAACAAATGCCATTTTCCTACCCGTTACCATGATGATCTTAACAGACAATGTCCAAGCTTCATCATGGCAACGGAAACTATCATCATAAAATGGTACAGTAAAAGAGATAGCTAGACCAAGAAGGGGTAGGATCTCCTGGGAAGAGGTCTGCAGAGAGGCCCAGTGACTGGTTGTGCAGCTCGGTGTCAGGAATAATGGTTGTATGGCGGAAGGGGATGCCCAATGCCATTTTGGAAATGATGATGCTGGCGGTGAGCAAGGTATTCAGCATAGCTCAGGGTCATCTTTTCACTACGGTACCTGAAAAAGTCAGGGAAGAGACAAAGTTAACATCAAGAAACAGATGACATACTGAACTCAGAGCTGGGATGGACCTCAGAGATAACCTTACACAACAGGAAAAACAGAGGTCCAGAGACAAGCAAGTGACTCGCCCAGTGTCACACAACTAAGTAGCAAGGCTGAGGTCAGAACCCAGGAATCCAAAGTCTGAGTCCAGCGCTCTTTTCTACTCTACCCCTCCTTGTTTGAACTGCTCCTGCTTGACCTCTCCGGTATGATACCAGCCACCGCTCCCTTTCTGAAGCTCTCCCGTGTCACGGGTTCTACAATAACGCACTTGCCTGGTTCTCCGCCGCCCCAGCCCCCTGTCTCGCAGACTGCTCCTTAGCTCTCTATCCCTCCTGCTCCTTCCTGCCTTGTCGGACTTTGCTGTGTTTCTGCCTTCGGCTCTTTTGACCCCATGCTCTGTGCCCCCTCCGTGAGCCCTACCTTTACAACTTCAACCATGACCTCTTGACAGATGATCCCAAGTCACCATCGCTGGCCATGACTTCTGCACGTGTACATTTTCGGTGACATACCGGACGTTTCTACACAGACACCCCAGGAGGCGCTTCAACTCCAGAATCAGTGCCAAAACGGGGCTCTCCTCCTGTGGTCCCTCCCTGGGTCAAAGGGATTGCCTCGGTCCTTCTTTTCTACATAAAGCCTTGACTTGTTCCCGTTCCTTACTTCTGAATGATAGTTACTAAGTCCTGTCATTTCTTGCACGGTGTATTCTCACCTGTTTCCTCCTTTCTTCTCATCCTCCCGCCACAGCTCTTAGTAACGCTCCCATTTCACCTCCTTTGGATTGCTCCCACAGCTTCTTGGGTAGCAGTAACGCCTCCTAATTTTCCTGTGGCCTATTCCAGTCTTACACCTTCGCAAATCCACGTGCTTAAAACCCTTCAATGGCTACTAACTGCCTGTAGAATCAGGTCTCAATTTCTTCATCTGGAACTCAAGACCCTCCGTCACATGACCCAACCCACCTTCTCGGCCGTGTTTTGCTCTAATGACCACCTCCTTACAGATCTATTTGAAAGACCAGCCGCATCTTACTGTTGAACATTCCTCAGAACTTGCCTCGACTCACTAAATTAATCCCTCCCCCCATCCCTCAAAGAGTCTACCCATTCTTCAAGCCCAGCCTCAAAACTATATCCCTCCTGGAATATTCCTCTTTCCCTACTGTATGATCTCATACCACCCATCACATTCTGCCTTATATTAATAATTATTCTTGTGCATGCCCTTCTATTCTCCTAGGCTGAACCCGGGGAAGGCAGAGAGGAAGGCATTTTCAAATCTGTAACTCCTCAGAGCTGAGAAAAGTCCGTTTTTAGACTACAGGCATTCAGTGTGGTTTTACAGAATTGAAACAAATGGAAACAGCAATCCATTTTCCTAAAATGTTGGGTATTTAAAAAAAAAAAAAAGTATCCCTATAATCCCACGTAGAAATGTATTTGGCATTTGTGAGTCTAGCTCAACTGTGATTTCTAGTAAGCTTTCACGGTAGACTTCTATCGCTGCCCACATCCTAAGGTTAAATTCAAATTTGAGGACTGCTTAGCAGAATCCGGGGCTTCTGCTAAGCCATTCAAAAGCTAGCCAATCGCTAATTCAGGTGACTTTCATCTATAATGTAGTTGAAAAAGGCTCAGAGGGCTTGCTCATGTAAAGCCAGAGTAATCGCAGAGAGCTAGAGATGGGAAGGATGGGTTCGTACATCATACAGGCCCTACTGCCCACCAGAGTTCACTGTATCCACCCTCAGTCCGGCCCTGCCATTCATTTCCATTCTGTTTCAGAAAAGAGAAGTAAGAGAGACCAAAGAAATCAAAGGATTATAGACATACGCATCAAAATATCCTGGTTAGCCTTGTGCTAGAAAATGCCTTCTGTACCTGGTCAGTTTTATGGTTTTCCTGAATTCATTAGTAATCGGTGCTTTGTAGCCTCCTTTCCTCAGCAAGGAGTCTATGGTCTGAATATGGTCCCATCCTGTGGAGAGCAGACCAGATAAAATACCAGTCAAACACATGCAACAAGCACTTTCGGTTAAATACAAAACGACTTTGTAGACGGCAGCTATCAGTGTCACCAAATGCCATCATGTCCTTTGGTCCTAAAAACAATCACACAGAAGGGCTACGGTCTCCTCCTGTACGGAAGCACATGTACCATCACACACCTTAAATTCCTAGCTACCCATGATGGCCAACAACATTAGTTTGTTTGGTTTTTTTTAATCTCAACCACAAAGACCAGAAATCTAAGAGGCTGGCCGTAACTGCTCAGTCATGTCTAGGTAGCAAACCACGGACACCGTACTCCCCTCTGACAGTGACACCTCTAAAAGGGAGGGAAAGGCCTAAATGTCATTCTGCCAAGTCAGCAGTAATTCAGACTCCCACACTAACTCATGGTAATTATTGTTCTTAATGGTATCTTCTGTGGTCAGTCAAGTGTTATTTGTGTGAAGTATTCAGAGGCATTTTTATTGGTTCTGACATGGGATGGTATGCTAATATCCGAGGCCCTCTCTCTTCTGTAAGCTTTACGAAGCCAACAGAACTACAGGATTAAGACATTTTCGACAGCAACCCAAATAAATCTTCAGATAGCTGTCTTCAAATCTAACTCTCCTGTCTGGGGGATGGGGGGGCAAAGCGGGGGGGGGGGAATCTAATGATATTAGACTTTACTGTGATGTATCTCACATTTATATGAAACAAACGTGAGAAAACCAAATGACAGATGCTTTCTGATGAGAAAGATAAGCTCCATAAGATAAAGAAATATTCATTTCAACTAACATGAGATTGGAATTCAGTAGTGGCTACAAAGGACCATATACTACAGAGTGAAGACTTATTTTGTGTTACAGTGGTGGTTCATAAAGGTTTGTGCTACATCTGCAAAAACAAAAAAACTTTTGATTAGGAAGCGCAGAGCAGGCATATCAGACACTAATACTTCATTTAATCTCAGTGCTCCAGATCTTAATGGGAAACCTACAATGCTAATAGTAGCAAATGAGTAACAGGCAACCACCTAAGAATGAAACATTTGATACTGACAATGAACTGAGCGGCTGGCTGACTGTCAAACAAAAGGCTTGTTTGTGCCAAAAGGCTATACAGCACAATAGAATATGGGAATATGGCACTTCAAATTCGTAGCAAGCCATCGCCTAAGAATAAAACCCAAAGTTTACAAATCTTTGCTTTTGTGAAAGTACACTGTTGTGTGTTTTTGCTATCAAACTTTAGTGCAGGGACTCGACTCCTGTGTGAGGAATTCACCAATTTCATACAGACATTGCAGTGGCAGTGATGGAAGAATCACTTCTTATGATTTGACACTGATCAATTATCAGACATAACTGCAAGGTCAGATATCGCATTGCAATTTGTATATGTGTTCAAATTCTTCACCAGATCATACGAAATAAAGTACAACAATGACCTTGCTCCTTTGCAACCTCCGGTAGGTAGGTGGCGGTGCGTTTTGATCCTTTTTCATTGATGAATTCTATTCTAATGCCATGTACACCCACCTGAAAGAAATTGGCAGTTTTATTAGTACAGTCTTCTTCATAGAAACAGAAAGAAAAAGTTATAATTTAACTCTCAAGAGAATGCAATCTTCCTTTCCCCTTGTTTTTAAAAGGGCCTATCATTTTTCTCTTTCCAAAGCCCTGACTTTGGGTGTGAGGGCCGTTATGATGGCCACAGAGACAGAAAACATTAATTTACGTGTGCCCAACATGTGTTGGGCTATGCTACTCTGTTTGGAACCGGAACACCCATTCTGGGGCTTGTATGTAGAATGAGACAGCAGATGGCAAGAATCCTGCCCCTGCTCCCAAACTGTGGCTCATGACAGTAAGGAACTAGACCAAGGAAGCTGACTCCCAAGAGACAGCAGATACACATCCTCTTTTTCAGGTACAGTCGCCACTTCAGATTCAGTTCTGAAACTCGTGGGGTGGCTGACTCCCTTCCCAAACTGTTGAGTCTCTTTAAAACCTTGAGTTGTATGTAGATGAGCAAACCCAGGTGAGAGTGAAAAAAGCCAACCACCACCAGATCCGACATCATCACCCCATTCCATATGATATCTCTAAGATATATGTCATGGCTTACGGTGGGCCTGTGGCAAACCCTCACTGTCTGTCTACATCATTACCCTTACACGCTACTGCTAAATTTACGAGTGATAGGGATTTCAAATCGCTTTGGGGCAGGGCATTTTTGCAGTTTCTTATCTATTAACACAGAGACCACTATAACTCTATGTGAAGCATGAAGACTTTTGGCGATGCCTTAAGAAGAGGGGGTTCTCTGAGTGTGGGCAATTTCTGGCTAATGTTTTAAGAAGGTAATATACTTTTTCTCTGATTAGCATCTCGTCAGAAGGAATCTGTCTTTCCCCCTCATATCCTGCAGACTGGTATACAGAACTGAGGATCACGGGAGTTTCTTCTTTGTAAATGCTGATAGTAAAAATGAAATTTCAAAAGTATAACAACTCCAGTCCATTCTCCCAAACCTACAGTCACTTTAGATCAACGGTCCCCCAGGGGAGTGTAAGGTCACCCAAAGGACTGGAGGGAGGATGTAAGACCAGGAAAACATTTTTATCCAGTAAAGAGGATTCTTTTCAGAGCAGGTGAGTGAAGTCATAGACCTGGACTCTTTCCATCTATATGCATGTTGAGGTCTAGAAGAAGAGCAGGAGTCCCCGAAAACCTCTTTTGCTTGTTCTGCCCTTAGCCTGAAGTTTCCCAGTTTCTCAGGGAAGCAGAAGTCCTCTGAAAAAATCCATTTTGTCCTTTCCCCGGGGCCTCTTCACACATCCATACATTACAATCTGCCAGATCTTCTGAGAAGTTTGTTTTATGAAAGGCTATCTGTGTGGCGATTTCTTCTATTTAATATCAGTGTTCTTATGAATCTCCTTCTGCTGAAAATGCACTCAGGGCAGCTGTTTAGAAAAACTAACACAATAAGGCCTCCCATAACCTGTGGGAAATGACTGTGGACAGCTGAGAAGAAATATGAGGCTTAGCTATCAGGCATTTCCAGGATAAAGGACATCTACTAATCTCCCCAGTGTCTGACACGGTACTGACACAGTGACAAATTTGCAACAGTTTCTGTATACGGACTTTCTGATCTGTGACTTTGAAGTCTCTTTCCTTCAACAAGATCGGCTCCGTCGTAACTTGTTTTTAAAAATATACAGCAGAAATAGTTTGTGCTCCCGTCCTTCACTGCAGTGAATCTTTGACTCAATTTATCAAAAATCTGTCATGTTAAAATGGGAAAGAATTTTGGTGTTTATTAAGGTGTCTAACCAAAACTGTGAGAGGAAGAAGAAGGTTTCGCTATTTGTGAGATGAGAGTGTTACACAAAATCAGGGGTATTTAACTGGTACGGGGCGGGGGGAATGGGAGCCGTGAAGTTTATCAGAATCTCAGAAGGTTTCATGCTTCAGCAAGTATAGTTTGGAAAAAGAACAACTCTGCAGGTGATTTTTATTCTAGGTTAACTAGAAAGCCTCTAATAATCGGTTTAGCTCTGACAGATTGTGGCTGGGTATTGAAAAAAAAAAGTGATTTAGGCAAATTGGAGGTGATTTAGACACTTAAATCCTTTCTTCACAGGAGTGCATTGTGTTTTTTAACAAAAATTTCAGAGAGTTTTAAGCCTAGTAATTTAACAATTAAAGGTGATTACGACCAGCTGCACGGTGTATGAACGGTATCTCACTAAAGCTTATATATGTGTGTGTGTAGATACATTTACAGATATATATTTACATATTTATATATATATATGACTATGTAAGTAGAAAGAAAGAGGTGACGGAGGTTAAGACTGAATTGGAAAGACATGCTGACCAAGATAAAAACGACTCGTTTACTTCTGTATTTTCAGAAGGGCCCACCATTGAACTTAATGTGACCAAAAAAATAATCAAACTTCTCCCATTTAGAATTAGTACCACATTTACAATTTTTAGTTCTTTTCTGTGTTCCTAGGATTCTGAACAGTTGAAAGTATCTGTAAATTGAAATGTAAGTATGGTGATTTTAAAGTGAACCTTTTGTGAGAAGTAACTTATTTCATAGGTAAAAAAAAAAATACTCCAGAGTGACAGAAATCCAAAACCACAGTGACTCATTTCTTCAACCGTTGGAATCCAGGAGAATGGCAATAATGTTCTGACCAGAATCAAAGCATAATAGCTTTTTGTCACCTGTTGAGCAACAGCATTTTCCTTTGCTCCCAGAACCACAGACGCCACCAAAGAGTCATACTGCGCAATCAAAACCGGGGAGTGGAACATGGCCTGCTGTGGAGAATGACCGAATGTGGCCAACCCATGGAAATCAGTGGCTTTGCAAATTAATTCCTTTCGACTGCAATGAGCGTGAAAACTAATCCCGTATTGTTTTGAGGGAGGAATGTGTCACCAGCTACGACTCCAAAATGCAACCCTCATATCGTAATAATCAAACATGATATTCGTATGATAATCGAATCCTCTGTTAGACTGGAGAATCCTTCGGCCTAGCTGCATCCCCAGAGACAAAGGCTATAGTGGCAATGATCAGCTAGAGAAGAGATCAGCTCACCAGGGTACTGAGATTCCCTACACCAAACTAAAACTCTACCTCAGTGTTGTAGTTAACCTTCCGTTTCAGGGATGAATAAGGAGGTAGCACCGGGGAAACCTTATGTCACCCCTAGTACCCCTAACATACACCCAACTGCCACTGCCCGAAGTACAGCCAGGTGCACAAAAACTGGGGACTTGCAAATCGAGCCTTATGGGAGTCGAATGTTATTAGAAGGTTTGAGAAAAAAAAATGCTTTCAAGGTCCATCAGCTGTGATAATGTCCTTTTAATCAAGACTGTACTTTTGCTAAGCAAAGCTATAAATCAATTCGAATGGTAGTAAATGAAATGTAGGACTTATAGATAAGAGGATATGGAATTAAACAGAGACATATCTGTGTGTGCCGAGAGGAACATTAAGGCCAGTTCAACAGACTCCTATTGCATGCTAAAAAGAAAGTCCTATTTGTTCGGAACCGTTCCATAGCGAGTGATTTTTATTAATGCCATTATACAATCTTTCGTTTTTAACATTGCCCAGAAAGATTAAATATCAAGATTAATGTTGAGACCCTAAAATGTATCTTGATTAGTCTAGAGCTGATTATTCACCTGGCCCCGTCCTCCTTCCTCCCTTGTCCATGCCGCTATTTGTTCACTCCTCTGTCAGAGAGCATGTGGGCCCAGAGAGAGAGATACATGCAAATTAATCAATTTTGCTATGTAGCAAAAGGTTTCATAGGAGAAGAGATTATAAATAATGGCTAAAATGAAGCTTCTAGACTGTCTGCAGCTTTCATTTATCCTTGTTATCTGGTCCCTTGTTAGAAATGTGGCTTCATTTAAAACTATTATCCTCTAATGCAGCGACTCTCAACACAGGAGCATTTAAAAAGTGCCCCCTCCTACCCCATTATGACACATGTCCATATTTTGCTCCTCACAACTGCACAAAGTTCGATATACCTTAGTCTGTCTGTAAGGCAAGTGTAATCCACCAGCAGCACTACCAAAGGGCCTCACTTGTACTCGCAAGGCTGATCAGCAAGCCAACAATCTGGATATGCTAAACCATAAGAAGGAGTCATCTGGCTAAAAGCATCAGTGAGCATAAAATGTGCTCTGGCTAAATCAGGTAGGCTCCATGCAAGCCGGGGATCATTTGGATCCACAATTACCTCCACAGTCCTGACCCTCAAAGCTAAATCTGCCCCTGAACACATCCTGGCCAATAAAACCAATCACGTCCTCAGGTTCATCCTGCCTTAGCAAATGCCACAGTTAGCCCCAAATGTTGTGACCAAATGTTGGGTTTCCTTGTAACGCTATGGCCCTAACTTAGTCCACTGATTTTCAGTGCATTCACTTGAATTAAAAAAAAAAAAAAAAAAAAAAAAAAAAAAAAAAAAATATATATATATATATATATATATATATTTACTTATTTATGTGTATATATTTAAAAATATATATGTATATGTGGGTATGTATATATGTATATGTACATATATACATAACATGTGGGTATATATGTGTGTGTGTGTGTGTGTGTGTGTGTGCGCATGTATGTGTGTGTGTGCATAGATATATAGATAGATATTCAGGAAGTCAAGGAATTGAAAGTGCTTTGACTATATCTTTGTTCCTGATATCATTTGGCAAAATATGCTTTGCAATTAACAAAACAGCCAGTCACTGGTCATTCACATAAGACTGACCTGCCAGGCTCAATATGCCAGTTCCATTGAACTGAATAAAAGGACTCTGTTCCTAATGAGAGAAGCTCAGGATATTTGGCACACCCTCTAACCTTTAGAGGCTGGCATCATAGGAGACACACATGCTCTTTCACAAAACAGCCCATGGTACCACGGACAGAAACAAGCACTGCATTGGACAGCCCATGGGTCTGACCCAGAGTCTCGAGT